TGAGCCACACACTTGTCACCTCGAAATAATATAATAATTATGATTTCCTAATTATTATGATAATGGTGACAATAATTTCTAATCATGAATAGTTACAAGATGACTATTTATTTATATTTTAACACCCCCTTGAATGATCATTTTCTGATCATTTCAGAGTATTAGTTGCCTCGTTGAAAACCTTATTATGGTTTCCACAATGTAATGGAGTATATAGTTAAGGGGGGAAAGTACAACATTTGATTTTATAGTATTATGATGTATTATCGCGTTAACAATCTTGTTAGTAAAAACTCAGTGAGATAAAAAACTGAACGAATGAGAAAATAGTGCATTGCATTATAATACCGCCCTCAATTTAACATATATCTCAAATGAGGTACATTCCAAATTGTGGACGAGTTCTTCAACTTTCTCTGGGACCAATGATTTTGAGAATAAATTGGCAGGGTTATTGCATGACTTGATTTGTTTTACATCAATCGTTCCTCTTTCAAGATCGTGGGTGGAGAAAAGTTTCGGTTCCATATGCTTTGCTCTATCCCCTTTGATGTAACCTCCTTTAATCTGAATTATACATGTCGTGTTGTCTACATAAATCACAATAAGATCGAAAGATTTTATACCGCGTTGATTTTGTGTGTGATGGATCATTAATCTCAATCAATCACATCCTCAGTCTGCTTCATAAAGAGTAATCAATTCTGCATGTTTTGATGATGTGGAAGTTAATGTTTGCTTCATTCATCTCCATGGGATAGCAGTACCACCTTAACTGAATAAATAGCTCGTTTGTGGTTTGCCTTTTATGGATCAAATAAGTATCATGCACCGGCATAACTAATTAATGTGACATTTGGATCATTCTTGAAATACAATCCAAGACCAATTGTACCATTGAGATAGCGGAATATATATTTGACGTCATTTTAATGTCTTCTTGTTGGGGAAGAGCTGTACTTGGCTAATAAATTTATAGAAAAAGAAATATCGGGTTGAGTATTATTAGCCAAATACATTAATGCTCCAACAACACTCAAATATGATATTTCGAGGCCAATGATTTCTTCATCATCTTCACAAGGTCATAAAGGATCATCATGCACATTAAGAGATAGGACCACCATTAGATAACTAAGTTGGTGTGCTTTATTCATGTAAAATCGCTTCAAAAGTTTTTCCGTCAAATTTTATCGATGTTAAAAAATCCCAGTTTTCAAATGTTCAATTTGAATGTTAAGACAGAACTTTGTTCTCTCAAGGTCTTTCATTTCAAATTATTTAATGGAAAATTTTGCAGTATTTTTTATTTCATTGAGAGTTCCAATATTATTTAAATCATCAACATATGTTTTAATCAAAATATTCTCTGAGACAATTATACCAACCACATGTGTTCAGATTGGTTTAGTCCATATAATGGCTTTTGCAGTTTTGTGTAAAAAAAACTCGAGATTTTGAGCTAAAATCATGAAGTAAATTAAATCATCCAGAAATTTTCTTTGTGTGTACGCACAAAACTCTATTAAACCCCACAGATTTTACGCCTTTCGGCGTATGGATTATTGGTCTAAAACTATTACGCTTTTCTAATGATTTTTTATTCTTCATGAATTGCTTAATTCCATTTGAACAATCGTTCACACGACAACGTTCGTCAACAGATTTAGGCTCATTTTCATTGTGTAGAATCATTATATGTGTGGCAATGACATATGAAAATGTACCGTTAACATCAATATCTCTTATATGCCATTGTATTAATTCCATTAGAAACGTGATTAATTGAATTTTCAAATGCATCAACATTTCTATCTTTATCTGGAATATTTACATCTTCAAAGGTGTTTACATCCTCTCTTGAGTTATCATTTCATTAGAAACGTGATTGACCGAAATTTCAAATTTATTGATGTTTCTATCTTTACCTGGAACATTTACCTTTTCAAAGGTGTTTAAATCATCTTCGGATGTATCTTTTTTATTGATGTTATCTCAAATTCGATATTTTCAAAATGTTCATTTTCTTTTTGATAAGGTTGGTTTTTTTGGCATCACAGACTATATCTTATTTCTATTTTTATTTTGGTTTCAAATCTCTTGAACCAACTGGTTTACCGCGTTTTTTTACGTATCATGGACTCATTAGCACGAGTTCGTTCACTATTCTCCGCTGGAATTTCTATTCGAGGATGAACATGCATAAATGTAGTACGTGACTTTGTCACTTTCTCCGAGTCTGTGAAAACGTATGGAAATCGGTTTGCAACATTATGTAAACGAATCATGCATTTGCTCTAATCGCAGTCATCATATCGAATCGTGCGGTGAATAAGTCACCAGTCATGGGTTCTAAATATTTTATAATTGAGGGAGATTTAAAACCATTCCAAGTTCTTAGCCTTCTTTGTGGGTTTGGTTCTTCACCAGATACTAAATGCAATGAAGAATATTTGTGATATGCAGTTGTCCTAAGTCAAATTAAATTTGTAGCATGCAATATAGCATATCTCCATGCAGATGATGATGATCTGGACTTCATTAATAATAGCCTAGCAATTAATTGTGCTCACTTAATTGGGAGAATCACGCAGACCATTAATATTGACATTAGTTTTAACTAAGGGCATCCCTATCCATAGTATTATTTAGATATTACTTTGATGAAGTGGATGATAATTTTTGAGATTATGATTGAGATGTTGGGATCATTTGAAGAGATTATTTGATAAAAAAATCTGGTATCAAATTCTAAAGGTGGATTATTTGAAGATTATTTCCAACTTCCAGGTTTCTCTTCCTGTTTTCTAGGCATACTCATAATTAAGGTGATGGCTAGGTGCATGCGCTTACTCCAAACGATGACAAGTTTTAACTACATGCACTAAGAATCTATGATACCTGTTGTAAAATTAATATCAATGTCCGTTGTTAAATTAAAAAATAATAGCACAGCCGCACATGTAGCTCAGTTGGTTAAGTGGTGGGAAATTTGGCCCAAGTGACCAAGGTTCGAAACCCGCAGCGACTGTGTGGAGGTCACAGAACCTGAAATAAGGCTGGACCTCTGGTGCGCACGGGAAAAAGGCCTACCATCATTGGGCCGACTGAGTCACCGTGATTAACATCCTCCCAAAAATCCTATCGGGTCGGGGTATGGGGGGCTCCTGGGGTGGGAGATTCCACCTTTTTGGCCCAAAAAATAATAGCACTGATAGATTATATTCTAGAGAGAAGTGAGAGCTAGAGAGAGAAGTGCAAGTAAATGCTTCAATAAATGATTTTCCAACCCCTATAACTACCTCCAGAGGAAGTATTTACAGGGAAATATGGGCTGGGCTCTCAAGCCTTGGGCTGGGCTCCCAAGCCTTGGGCTTGGGAGGCCCATTTACAACTGGACCGCTATTGGGCCGAACGCAAAGTAAATGATAGAGTATACAAATGAGTAAGTGTAAAATCCAGTTCTGGGAGTTCTTTGTGGCCGACGAGGGTCTGGCCGATGAGTGCATGGCCAACGAAGACCCAGCCGACGAGGTCACTCGGTTCTTCTGGCTTCCGGATCATGTCCTGGGTTGACTTCATTCTGACCGATGAGGGCCACCTGGCCAATAAGGGTCCCATTGGGTGACAGTTGTGCCTTCTGTTCTCCTGAGTATGTGGGTCCTGGGGCCTAGACCCATATACTCCATCAGGAGTCCCCCACTCTCTAAGCTGAGATGTAGACGAAGTGAAAGAGAGTAGATTCCTGTTCTTTTTATGATTGGCCGTTGCGTGTCCCCTGTTGTGGACGGGAGAGATCCTAGCCATGCGGATGGTACGTGTTCCTTGCTCTCTAGGACGATGAATACCTTTGCTTGATGGGGGCGGTGAAGGTCCGCAGTTGTGAATGACCGATATGTGTCTTTTGCATGAGTGGCTGATGAGGACATTCTTACCTTTTCACGATCTTCGATGGCTGAATTTTGTTTTTGGGCCGAGGAGGCCACTGCGGTTGCGTCTTGCTTGAGGACGATGAGCGTCCTTTGCCTTGAGTAGCCGTTGAGGACGCTATTCACTCCTTCTGGGCGTTGTGTATTGAATTTCGTACTTTTGGTCGAGGAGGCCATTGTGGCTATCTCTTGGTGGAGGGCGATGAGCGTCCTTTGTCTTGAGTGGCCGTTGAGGGCGCTGTTCACTCCTTCTGGCCGTCGTTGATCACTTACCATGCCCCACTGCTTTAGGCCGAAGAGTGAGTGAGGGGTGAAGGAGTAGTGTGAGACCCAGGCCGCAGCGGGATCCTCATACTGCCCTTGAATCCAACCCTTTGGCGATTTCCTGACCAAGGTAACCCTGTGGGAGAACCCTTGGACGCAGGTCACTTTCAAAGGGTTATCATCAAGGGTTTTGTGCGAGGGCCGATGGCCGTTGGGTTCCCTTCCATTGTGGTGTTGTGGCCGTTGTAAGGCCTTTCTTTACATAATATGTATGGCCGCTTGAATGGCCGATACGGGTGCTACCTGGGTAGCCCTAGCCTGTGTTGGCCGTTGAATGCCTTGGCCGCTGTGGGTGCTATTTTTCCATTCCTCGCTCCGTAGAGCCTGCTTTGCTGGTGGGCTGTTGATCTGTGAACTGGGCCTGGCCCATTTACGAAGTGGTGGCATCCCATTGGTGGCCGTTGGTGTGGCCACTGGGAAGGTGCCACGTGTAGTGACCGTTGGGGGGGGGCTATAAATACCCCTCCCATCCCGAAGAAAAACCTCATTTGCGATCTGAGCTACCGAAGTGCTGCCCAAATTTCTAGAGATATAAAGTCCTTGCAAGTGTTCTTCGTGTTCTTCAAAGCTTCAAAGGTTAGTTCATCGAATTTTCCTCTGTATTTTGCCTACTTTGCTTCCTAGGCCTTTCATCTAGTGTTAGTCATAAAACACCTTTAGATCTGAAGTAGCTCCCGTTAGGCCCGTAATAGTGTTATGATGAAGAACTTAAACGAAGAGTACTACCCCTACGATGATGAGCCCTCCGCCAAGTCCCTCGATTACGAAATGGTCGAAGAGTTCTGCGAAGAGCTTGAAAATCTGAGCTCGTTCAAATCGGGGGAGCAGGACGATGAGGACGAGGAGTCTGCTTCATCATCTGGAGGCGGGGACGTAGGAGTCTCCCGAACTGCGGATGGGGCATCCACGTCGGCTGCCATTCCATGCCCGAAGCCGGTGTCTGCCGTCAAAGGTGTCGCGGTGTCGAAAAGGGTGAGGAGGCCGAAGAAGGGGCCGGCCTTTTCTTACCTAGATCTCGCCAACATTTACATCATCAGGCCGCAGAGCAACGCGGGTGAATACTTAGTCGCACAGATGTACGTGGGGCCGTTTGGTAGGGCAAGGGCTCCCAGGCCGACGGACCATGTTCTCAATCCACCCCCTGGATACTTTGGAGTGTACCCGATGAGTTTCGCCAAAGGACTTCGGTTCCCTCTTCACCCGTTCATCATTGAGTACCTAGACATGGTAGGTCTCCCTTCGGCCTTGTTGACGCCGAACAGCTACTCGCTCATCGTTGGGTTCCTCCTACGTTGCGCTGAGTTGGGTTTACGGCCGACGACGGCTCTATTCATTAACCTCTATCAGATAGGCCGGGGGAGTCATCAGAACTGCGCTTGCTATGCCACCCTCCAACAACTGCTGAAGAAGAGAAGCTTCACTGACCTGCTGTCATCCATCCACGGTTAGAAGAGTAAGTTTGTATTTGTGTCGTTGGTTGAGGGGGGCGTTGAATTTCCCTCCGTCGGCCACAGTGGGCGATTCAATCTTCACGACCCGCCGAAGAGCTCAATCTTGGACGCTCAGGTGGCAGCTTTCCTGAAGGGAGGGCCGAGGAGCGTGAAGACGTACATCACGGAGTACAAGATGGCCGCCCTCGGCTTCGTGAGGTATTTTGTATATGGTGATAAGGAAGATGATGTAGAGATGTGGCCGAAGATGACCACAACTTACGAGGAGGCCGATGGTCCTGATCTGGGGGTGCCAGCTGAGGCCGATGGTAATGCCCTTTCGATGCCCTCCTGCTCGCCATCGTTTTATCCTTTTATTTGCTGACCCTTTGTATTTTTCCGGTGCAGGTTTTGTTATGGATCACATGTCCTTCATGAAGAGGGCACAACTAAAGGCGTCCGAAGAGCTGAAAGCTCAGCAGGCCGCTAAGCCGGCGGCCGATGCGGGACAGCCCGCTACTGCCCCTGCGACGAAGCCCCTTGTCCAGCCGAAGAAGAAACGGCCGGCCGATGAGGGCCAGAAGAAACTTACTGAGGCGGGCTTGAAGCTTACCAAGAAGCCGAAGAGGGCTTCTCCTGCTGGTGATGCCGGTACGTTGACTGTTCCTTATGGGGACGAAGGTAGCTCTAACGCCGATGCGTTGGTGGATCTGACTTCGGGCCCTCCGTCCACCGCTGTATCCAACCTTCCTCCCGCCGCCGCAGCCACCCGGATGAAAGGGTCCGGCCGAGAGTTGGTCAAGGGGACCTATAAGCTCGAGGTTGAATACCCCGTTAAGGGTGGTTTATTCAACGAGATTGTTGATGGCCATGAGGTGATCTCCCAGGCCATCCCCGACGAGGACCGGGCTTATCTGAAAAAGCTCGGTAATGTCAAAATGTACGACGGTGGGATAGACCACATCATCCAAGTAAGTTTTTCTCTGATTGCTTCGTCTTCTTCCCCTTTTTCTTTATTATGCGTCAACGTCGTCTAACCACTGTTTTCCTGTAGGGTGCCTTTATGTTTTTTTTGGATGAAATGTAAATTTATATTAACACCCAAAGAAAACTATGCATCATGGGTTCTAGATCTCCTAACCCCCCACCCCTACCTAGTGTAGGGGTAAGAAGAGGTTTTTATTCGATCTAGCACAAAATCAAAAACAAAATCAAAGGGGCCTAAGTATAATATACCAAATGCCCCAATACAAAAACAATTCAGTGGTGCAGAGTAGCACACATATAACTAAGCAAAAAATCAGGCAACCCCGACATAAGGTAATCCCATTGCCAAGCAAAAAATCAGTGGTGTTGCAAGGAGCAAACACACTAGTCCATGAGTGGATGCCGCGGCCATCACCCAAAGTCTTCTCTTCAAAATCTGATCATATCATGTGGGTATATAGAAAATAATATCTTATATACCACATGTTTAATCTTCGTAATAACTTCATCCTCCATCTTCATACTTCCATCAAAATGAGAGGTGTTCCTAGCATGCCATATGTAGTATGCCGCGGCACAGAATGCGATCCAGACAGCCTTTGCTTTCAAAGTGGAGCCTTTGTGCTTCTTCAAAATCCATTTGACCGAGCTATGCAGCGTAGTCATTTGGTTTTCCATGCCCATCCATTCCCTAATCTTCCCCCAAATCCTGCAAGTAAAAGGGCAAAGAAAAAAGAGGTGTGCATTGTTTCCAAGTCACCCTTGCACAAGTCACATCTATTAACGATATGCAAAAATCCGAGGCTATCTTGTGTTGGTAGCCTATTTCTAAAAGCAAGCCAAATCATAAAGGAGAACTTCGGAGGGATATAGGATTTCCAAATGAAACTCATCCATACCCTAACCGCTCCCCTAGTTCTCAAAAGTTCATATATTTTACTTGAAATCAATTTGCCATTAATAGATCTAGAGGCTAACCCCATTATTGTGTCATTATGGTTGTTGAAACAGCCCCTAATCCTATCTCGTATTAATGCCAAGTTTTTCATGAAAATCGAATCACGGCTGTGTGGGGAAAAGTCCCACACACTCTTACCATTAAGGTACACGCCATTCACCCATTTTACCCAAAGGGTGTCCTTTTTTAGATGCACATCCCACAGTGTACGAGATAGGAGGACTTGATTCCAAATCTTAGCATTTCGAATACCCAACCCCCCTCATCCTTAGGGAGACAAATATCGTCCCATGCCACTTTGGCATATTTTCCTCCCCAAAGGAAAATCCTACAGATGGAGACAATTCTATCAAGGATAGTCCACGGCACTGGAAAGACTTGTAGCCAAAAAGATTGGACCCCTTGGATCACAGATCTTATTAGCTCAACCTTTCCAGCATAAGAAATGGACTTTGTATTCCAAGCATTCAAAAAATCCAAGATAGTGTCTAGCAAAGGGGCATATTGTGCCACCGAGACTTTAAGAGGGACAGGAGGGATCCCTAAGTACTTGACCGGGAATTCACCTTGCCCAAAGTCAACAATACTCAAAATATTTTGCAAATCAAATTCATTAACTCCCCCAACAAAAATGTTTGACTTGTTACAATTCACTCTTAAGCCCGATACATCCCCAAATTCTTGTAGGGCATTAACAAGAACCTCAACGGAAGCCTTGTCCCCCCCAGAGAATAACATTAGATCATCCGCATAGGCCAAGTGTGAAATGTTAAGTGAAGCACATTTAGGGTGGAAGTTAAACTTTGAAATCTTTGTTTTCATGTTTAGAAGACGAGAAAAGTATTCAAGGCAAATCACAAATAGGAGAGGAGACATAGGATCTCCTTGCCTTATACCCCTTTTACCTTCAAAGAATCCATACAATGCACCATTCAAAGAAACTGAAAATGAGGCAGATGATACACATTCCATAATCCAATTTACAAATCTCAAAGGGAAGCCCAATCCCTTGAGAACTGATTCAAGAAAACTCCAAGAAATAGTATCATAGGCCTTACGCAATTCTACCTTAATCATACATCTTGGTGAGATTCGCTTCATCGTGTATCCTCTAACAAGTTCCTGGGCTAGGAAAATGTTATCAATCATGAGGCAGCCATCCACAAAAGCACCTTGGGCATGATCAATTAATCCCGGAAGACACGGAATTAATCTAGCCACAAGTACTTTAGTGATGATCTTATAAAGGACATTCGTGCATGAAATGGGTCTATAGTCCGAAACCTTAGGGGAGTGGTTTGTCTTTGGGATAAGCGCTATCACAGTGTGGTTAATCTGTTTAGCAACTTTCTCGAACGAAAAAACTCCTTAACGGCCAGGACTATGTCATTCCCAACAGTATCCCAATTCGCCTTAAAGAAGGCAGAAGAAAACCCATCTGGTCCCGGAGCCTTATCATTGCCAATGTCAAATAAGGCATTCTTGATGTCCAAAGTTGTGACCGGGGCAATGAGGCTCATGTGGGCACTTGGTTGAACAAGTGGACCCGAAGGTAAAACCAAGGGGTCCAATGCATGACAATCATTAGGCGTACCAAATAAATCAACAAAGAAGCTTACAAATTCATTACCCACTTGGTCCAAAGAGGTAGTAAGTGTTCCTTCCTCCAAAGTAAGCGATGAGATTGTATTCCTTGCCAAATTCCTCTTCACAATTGCATGGAAGTACTTGGTGCACTTGTCCGCCTCTAGGATATGTGTAGCCTTAGCCCTTTGTTGAAAAAAGGAGGCTTCGGCTTCACCCAAGAATGTAGCTTGCTTTGATGCCGCGGCCAATTGTGCCTTAAGTTCCAAATCGTCCGGGCATTGAAGGGCCATTTTATGAAGTCTTTTGAATTCCTCCTTCGCTAATTTGGCCTTGTTGGAAATATGGCCAAACTCCGCGACATTAAGAGTCTTAAGGGGTCCTTTGAGTCCCTTTAGTCTCTTCACCAACTTGAATTGGGCCGTTCCATTAAAAAATTTATTCCAATGCAATGCTAAAATATTGGCAAAATCAGGGTGCTTTAACCACATATTAAAGAATTTAAAAGGTTTGGGTCTAGAAGAGGAGTTTCGGAGTATAGACACAACGGAAGCCGTATGGTCAAACTCTACCTCCATTTCATGGAAATGGACCCTACAACCAATGCTATTAAGCCCCCAACTCTCATTGATCAAAACACGATCCAGTTTGGCCCAAAGGGCACCTTTGTTCCAAGTGAAGAACTCTCTTGTGGAGGGTGCATCCTCAAGGCCATTAGCACCTTTAAACTCAAATAGGTGTTGCATAACATACGCCGTAGGGGGGGTAGGACCCACCCTTTCATTAAGCGCACATATGCAATTGAAATCACCACACACCATCCATGGCTCAATCAAGTGTTCACCTACCAAGGTCAAATAGTCCCAAAGAGACTTTCTTTCTAGGACAGTATACAATGGATACACAAAAGTAGCAAAGAAAGGAGTTTGAGTTATCTTACAAACACACTTTGCATTCATAAATTGCTTCTCTTTTTCCAAAAAATCACAGTTTATTAGATTAGGGTTCCACATAACCGCAATGCGTCCCCCACTAATTAGGTCAAAATTATTCTCAAAAATCCAACCCGGCCATTTATTTAAAACATAGTTATTAAAAGCGGCCAAGGTCATTTTAGTTTCTAGAAAGCATACCAAGCAAATGTTATTTGACTTAATACAAGAAGCAATAATATTATGTTTAGAGGTTTTGTTTAAACCTCTAACATTCCAAACCATAAGCCGCGACATTAAGTGAGGTATAGGTGCGAAGTGGGTCCTCCACCCTCGGTTGTTCCCTTCCTTTCTTCCCTTCGTTTCCTCCTCATCATTTCCTTGAAGTATGCCTTGTTCTCCTTGCTGTTTTCATCAAAGAAAGTGATGGATAGTGTACCCGGGGGGTAGCTTATCCGGGGGGGTATTGCGGGGAATAACAAGAGGGAAGTCAGAGCAAGTAAGTATAGAGAGAGAAAGTGTATTTAGAAAGTATGCAGCGTTTATGACTTGGTTACAAATGGGGAAATGGGGTGCTATTTATAGTAGTAATAAATGCCGAACAGGGACACGTGTCAAGCGCCCATTGGTCGAGAGGTCATCTCAACTGGTTGGCGCTGGCAGCCGCATGTGGCCGCATTTAATGCGGCTGTTGGATGGGACGATTGTACAGGGTACGGTGATCTGTACACATGTGGCACGGATATTATGTCGGGAGAGGTGCCCTCGGCTGCAGAGGACTAGCCGAGGGCTCTGAGTGTCGGGGACCCCCTGGGTGCCGAGGGCTCCAGGTGCCGAGGGCTACTGTTTTCTGCCGTTTTCCTCCCAGTTTCTTAGTTTGCTTGAAAAACCTGTTATGTGAGAGTTTTGAGCCTTCGGCCAGGGGCCGAAGGCTCCCCAGTGTGCGTTGTGGGCTGCTAAGTGCTTGGGGCACCGTAATTTGGGGCCTGCTGTGCTTCCTGGGCCGGTTGGGCCTTTATTGGTGTAGTAGGAGTCTGTGGGCCGGGGGTTCCCGGGCCATATACTCCATCAGGAGTCCCTCACTCCTTTTGCCGAAAGGTACTTGAGGGAAAAGGAGTAATTTGTGCTTGCCCTTTGATGTTGTCCCGTTGTAATCTCTGAAGTTGGTGAGGAGTCGTTACTTTCATGTCCCTGCCGAAGGCAGTCCCTCAGTTACCCACATGTCGGGACTTGAGGGATTGCTTGGCCGTTTGTTGGAATTTTTCACCATTTTGTAATTTAATGATTTTCCCGAGGGGGTCCTCCAGTCCCCCACTCCTTGAGGCACTTGTAAAGTGGTGAAAAGGAGTAGAGTAGTTGCGCTGCTGTTGTGGGCCGAAGGCTGACACTTTTCGTTTCATTTTGGGGGGATGCCTCGTTAAAAACCTCATTAGGAAAAACCCTGTGGGAAAAAATCCTAATGAGGGAAAAAGAGTGCACCAAATTCCCCCAATGATGAATCGAAAATGTGAAACCTTGGCTCAAAATGGAGAATAATGGTAATGCCGAAGGCTCTCCTTGTTCTGAGGGCTCATGTGTTGAGTAGCCGGAGGCTTGCTGTTGATGTCCTGGGAGGTGCCGAAGGGAAGCCCCTCAATCTGGGGATCGAGGGCGTGATGGATGAGGGCAGTAGTTGAATTGTCACCGGGGTGTCCCCTGCTTGCTGATTAGTTGGTGATGAGGATCTCCGAGGGCTCCCATTACTTGTGTGCTGCAGGCTATCCGTCAATGAGGCATACTCCCCGGGGGCTACCCGGCCCTTACAGTGCTGAGGGGGAATCCCCGAGGGGTGGCCTGATATGAAGCCTTGGGCTTCTGAAGGAGTGATCCCGAAGGCGACTGTTATGTACTGTGTGGGGCACAACCCGAGGACGTCTCTGGGTAAGTGTACCCGGAGGTTCTTCTTGATGAAGTGGAGTGAAGTAAGAAAATCCGGGGGCTCCCAGAATATAGCCGTTGGAAATATAGCCATTGGAATATGTAACGTCAGGATATAGCCGTTGGGGGGTACACGTGGCGCGTGATGGTTGGCTGTCCGTGGGCGGCGGCACCGGTTGGGCGAAGACACGGCGTGTAATGATGACGGTCCATCCGGAGGCCCGGTTTCTAGGCCCAAGCCCGGATTCCAGCGCCTATAAATACCCCAAGGCCAGGCACTCCTCCTTGTGCGAAACCTTGTTAGCGAAGCTCTGCCGAATTTTTCCTAGAGAGAGAAATAGCTGCCCTCGATCAAACTCTAATTCCCAGGTCAGTTCTCCACTCGCACTTCACCTCTCTAGTTAGCTGTCTTGTGCCCTTAGGCTAGGAGATAGAGTTTTTAGAAAACACTAGCGTCTACGAGCCTTCGAACCAGAGCCAGAATGTCGTCCCAGAGTGATTCTCAAGACATCTCGGGGGCGCCCTCGATGGAGGATGAAGTCCTCTCGGATGTGGAGTCCTCAAGTGCACAATCTTCGGTGGGACAGGATGCCGTCGTCGCTCTGGAGCTGCAGAAAGCCCTCGTTGCTGAGGCGGAAGCCGAGGGCTTCGAGCAAGAATGTGAGGATGAAGAGCTGGCCCTAGCCTGGCAAGCAGCTGAAGAGGAGGCGCAAAGAGAAAGCGTGAGGGTCACCGTTGCTGTGCTCCCCCCTCGGGGTGCCGGTGAGGCCAGCACCTCTCGGCCGCTAAATGCGGTTCCCATCCGGGTGGCCCCCGGAAAGAAGAAGGCCAAGGTAGCTGCTCCCAAGAAGAAGGGCAGCGTTGCAGATCAAGGGAAGCCCCTCGATATGCCCGAGGGGTACTCCTACCTGAACACCGCCGCCTTGGAAATAAGGTCGAAGGTTGATGCGGCGGACATATACGTCACTCAGCTTCACGTGGGCCCCTCGGCCATCGTGGTGACACCGGGCCCAGATGACATCCTCTCCCGGGCTCCCGAGGGCTGTATTGCGGTGCACGTTCTCTCGGTGTCCATGGGGCTCCGCTTCCCCCTGCACCCTTTCCTCCGGGAGTACCTCCGGTTCGTGGGTCTGGTCCCCTGCCAGCTGACCCCGAACAGCCATTCCTACATTACTGGCTTCCTCCAGCTCTGCAAGTCCCGGGGGGTGACGCCTAGCCTGGACCTCTTCTTCCAGAGATTCAATCTGTGCCGGGGGGCATGTGAATGCCGAGGGCTTCGCAAACTTGCAGCAGGTGGCAATGTTCAAGCTCTTCACTGAGGCGCCCTCCTCGAACAAGGGGTGGAAGGACCGGTGGTGCTACGTGAAGCTGACCGAGAGCCCCTTCCCGAGGGAGTTACGTGACCGTTTCAGGAGGCACGAGAAGAGGAGGAGCGCCGCCCTCGAGAAAGACGGCAGGATTCTGGCCATGATCCCGGAGGGCCGGGACAAGAATATCACCATTAAGGAGTGCACCAAAGAGGGAGATCTCTACACCCTCGGGTTCCGGAGGTATCGCTTCCTGGGGGAAACAGATGAGAAGTTCCCGGTGTTTGAGGGAGCCTCCGGAGGTAGTGGCTGAGGGCACTCTCACCTTCATATCTTAGCACATAGTTCATTTGCTTGTTTGTTTCTCTTTATGCCATCTGTTAGTGACCCCTCGATCTTAACCCCACATTGTTTTTGCAAGTGTCAATATGGATCTCAATGCCTTCGCCAACCTCAAAAAATAGAAGGTGAAGGTCCTGGGCCAGAAGGAGCCCGTAAAGCAGAAGCCCCTCGGGGAGATGAAGAAGGGCGGTGAGCCCTCGGGGGAGGCCGCAAAGCGGAAGGCCGCCGGCAAGGCCCCAATCCCCGAGGGGAAGAAGCAAAAAAAGGGGGACACCGGGAAGAAGGCTCCCCTGGTGTTGGTGGTGGACGAGCATTCCGCCTCTGAGCCCAGTGCTCCGACTACTCCTTGCCCGCCCTCGGGTAAAGGTGGCGAGGTAAGCTTGCCTCGGGAGGACATACAGTTCTCCCTGCCGAAGGGGTCTGCCATCACGCATGGCACAGTGGACCCCCGGGAATTTCTGGGCAGGGCTACACCCGCTCTGGACAGGCGGGCCCTCGGGAAGCTGGATGATGAAGCCCTCGAGTCCAAAATCCTCCGGTCCTCTCTTACCGTAAGTTCTCTTCCTTCCTCTCTTCTTCTTTCTTTTTCCTTGGCATCGTGGCCCATGACTTTATCTGTTTGTGTGATCATAATTTTAACCCCTTGCTTTGTTGTTTGTCTGGACAGGCTTGCATAGCCCTCGGCGAACACGCCAGGAGGTTCGATGAGTGGCGCCTCCAGAAGGCACAACAGGAGGAGTCCCTCAAGAAGCTTATTCACGATAATGCCGAGGCCGTGAGGCAGATGGCTCAACTGGAGAGGGGCCTCCAGCAGGCGAGGGCGGAAGCAGAGAGAGCGGCCAAGGAGAGGGTGGAGATGGAGAAGGCGGCTGCCGAGGCTGCGAAGAAGGCCCTTGAAGACGCCGAGGCCGCCAAAGCAGAGGTCGCCGCTGCTGCAGTTCCTGCCTTCATGACCGAGGGCTGGAAGGCCGAAGGCCATAAAGACTGGGTGGCCTCGGTTATGGAGAATTCTGCCGAGGGGTGGGTGAAGGGCCCCGTGGCGATGTGGCTAGCCCGAAAGGGTGAAGATTACTACGCCGGGGGGGATTTCTTTACCCAGGCCCTAATCTACAGGAGGCTCGCCCGGCACCTGAAGATAGAGCCAACGGCCTTCGACCCGGCGGCATACGGTCTCCCCCCCCCTCCAGCATGATATCAGAGTCCCCCTTCCTGAGGGCATCGAGAGGCCAGAACTGGAAGATTCAGAACTCCTGAAAGAGGCCGAGGGCGATGAAGCAGAGGCTGATGCGGAGGTCATCTCGAAGCCTGTGGAAGAGGCTGCCCCCGGTGCTGACAATATGTGATATGTACTTGTAGTGTTTTGAATTCCTTTGTTTTTTGTTTGTAATGAATATTCGTGTACTCTCGGCCTCGGCCATATTGTAACATATATATTTTAACTCCTCCCTGAATGCATGAATGTTTGCCTTCGGGCTTTTTGTATAGTTCGTTTCCTCCGAGTGTTTTTCCTTGAATGTATGCCTTCGTCTCGTTTTGAATGTATGCCTTTGCTCCTTTGAATGTATGTTTAGGACTTAGAATATTTTCTTCCAAGTGCGGTGCTTCTTGTAGCCCTCGGTTACTAGTAACCTTTAGTTACTTTAACGTTTTACCGGGGGCACAATGTTCAGGACTTAGAAATATTTCTAAGTGTTTGTTCATCTGTTGGCCCCCCGACTGATCTTCCCTTCTGGTTCCATGTAGCCTTCGTGCAATGGCCGGAGGTGAGGTGCTTAGGACTTAGAGAATTCTTCTAAGTGTTTGAATGTAGTCATAGCCTTCGGTAGTTGGGCACCCTTTGCCAGATGTATGACCGAGGGCCCAGCAATAGTTAGGACTTAGAAAATTTTTCTAAGTGTAGTCTCACCAAGCCTTCAATCGTGTGACCCCTCGGGTTGCAGGGAGATTCGGGACTTAGAAACTTGTCACCGAGGGTAAGATCTTTTGGGACTTAGAAATTTTTCTAAGTGTAGCACGTATGTAGCAGGAGCCCTCGGTCAGCATGGAGATTTGACCGAGGGTCAAAGTATGTAGGACTTAGAAAATTTTTCTAAGTATAGCTTCACCAAGTCTTCAACCGCATGTCCCCTCGGGTAGCATGGAGATTTGACCGAGGGCCAAAATATGTAGGACTTAGAAAATTTTTCTAAGTGTAGCACACCATAGGGCCTTCGGGTGTTTGTAGTTCAATTGCTGTGTGATGATTAGGTTGAGAACCCAATCCTTAGGACTTGGAAAAATGTCTAGGTGTAGTCTCCCATTGGAAGCCCTCGGCTGGCGGCCTCCTTCCTGATGTGTGAATATTTGACCGAGGGCCAAATATGTAGGACTTAGAAAATTTTATAAGTGCTGCTGCATCACGTAGCCTTCGGCTATCATGGTTCCTCTAGTTGAAATATTGATCAGGCTGGGGGCTCAATCTTCAGGACTTAGAAAAAATTTCTAAGTGTTGCTTCCTTGTGTAGCCTTCAGTTAGTAGTGTTTTCCACTTAAGATTTCCCGAGGGCGACAGTATTTTGGAATAATCCCCCTTGGTTGGCTTTTGATGATTTGTAATAGATGCCTTCGGTCGTTAGGTGATATGTGAGCCTCCGGCTGTTGTCATTTTTTCAAAAGTGTGGACTTAGGAAAATTTGTAGGATATTGATGTTGTAGTGAATGCTAGTGGGATATAGGTGCCCTCGGCATTCATTTGAAGGGTTCTTGAGCTGCCTTAGTCAGTTGCATCCCCTTTTACAGGATAGGACCCCTCGGTGGCGAAGGATGACCGATGGTAGGTGCCCTCGGCACTTATTTGAAGTGGACTTAGCCGTTTAGTGTACTTGAGACAGTCCATTCTTTTTGTATTGTTGAGTAGTAACCTTCGGGAAATAGGAGCCTTCAGTTACCGGAGGTGTTCCCGTAGGGAGCCCTTGGTATGCTGTGATTTGTTGGAGTGTTGTATTCATTGATCTCTCGATGAGTCTACTCCCCTTCACCCCCTCTGTTTTTTTTCGGTTGGTGGTGAAGGGAAGGCATCAATAAACTTGGTTTCTTGGTAAGGCTGGGCCTATCAGGAGACCATCAGAATACACCAATGGCTCTCCTCCCTCGGGTTAACCTTCCGAGTTCCGAGGGGATCGAGGGTCGTTTCCTGGGCACAAGATATGGTGGTCTGTAACCTGCCTCCCCTTGGGGGATGGCGCGGAAAGCGCCTCATTTTTGAAAGTCGTCCCCTCGACGCTAGACATAGTCCGTGGCCTGCCACACCCTTGGGGTGGTAGCGCGGGGAGCGTTTCGGTTTGGAAGTCGAATCCTGGGCATTTCTCGTGCCTGTCATACCCTTGGGGTGATGACGCGGAAAGCGTTCCGTTTTTGGAAGTCGAATCCTGGGCATTTCTCATGCCTGTCATACCCTGGGGGTAGTGACGCGGAAAGCGTTTCAAGGAAGGGTTTTCATTTGCACACTAGTTGCAAATGGCCGGGGCCACTACGTGCCGCCGGCACCGATGGTGGCGCCTTCGGTATATGCGTCCTCGTGGGGTACGGCTTTTAGGAACAACACTTGGTGTTAGTTTCGATATGTAGCCCCCCGGTACTTGGTACCGAGGGGTCTTCTGTAGGAACACTTAGTGTTTTCCTTCTATTTGACGTTGATGGGTGAGATGTGTACCCCCGGTACTTGGTACTGAGGGGTCCTCTGTAGGAACACTTGGTGTTCTTCTTTTTGATGTTGATGGTGGAGATGTGTACCCCCGGCACTGGGTGCCGAAGGGTCTTGAAATGAAACACTTGGTGTTTCCTGTTGCCGGTGATGGAAGTCCCCACCTTCGGTACTTGGTACCGAGGGGTCTTGTTTGAAACACTTGGTGTTTTCACTGTTGTTGAAGGTGTTGATGGTGTCCACCCTCGGCACTTGGTGCCGGAGGGGGTTCTTCTCGTGGTGAGGCCTGGGGCCTGTAGTTGGTATGAGGGCTTGGCCGCTCATAAGTGTTTTGCGGTTGTTCTTGGTGTCTTGAATGTGCCTTCATTCTTCAAAATTGGAGGCCTTGGGCCATAGGATAGTACATTCACTAGTTATGAGGGCTTGGCCGCTCTTACATTATTGATAAAATTTAACTAAGTGGTGTACATTCCAGTGCCTAGGGACTTCTTTCCCGTTGGGGCGTTTGAGCTTGTAAGTCCCAGGTTTGATGATGGCTGTTATGATGTAGGGGCCTTCGAACTTTGGTGCCATTTTGCCTCCCTCGGTCGGTTGGCTGGCTTCCCTCCTCCGGAGGACATAGTCCCCCACTTGGAATTCTCGGGTGTGAACCTTGGCGTCGATGTAGCCTTTGACTTGCCTTCGGTAGTATTCTGCCCGGATGAAGGCTTGCTCCCGGCGTTCTGAAAGGAGGTGGAGGTCGAGGGCCATGTTGCTGTCGTTGACCTCGGGGTCATATTGGACTACCCTCCGGGTGGGAAGGGTGACTTCCGTAGGAGCTTTGGCTTCAAACCCGTAGCAGAGGGAGAAGGGTGTTTCGCCTGTTTCTCGCCGAGGGGTGGTGCGGTAGGCCCAAAGGATGTTGTGGAGTTCTTCTACCCAGCCACCGCCCTCGGCCTCCAGCTTCTTTTTGAGGCCCTCGAGCAAGGTCCGGTTGGCGTTCTCTACTTGCCCGTTGCCTTGAGGGTAGGCAACGGAGGAGAAGGTGTGTTTGATGCCCCATGCCTCCAGAAGGGCACAGAAGGGGGCTGCCTCAAATTGTGTTCCGTTGTCGGAGATGATCTGCTGGGGGACGCCAAACCTTGTGAGGATGTTCTTGAGGACGAAGTGACGGCACTTCACCTCTGTGATACTGGCGAGGGGCTCAGCCTCCACCCACTTGGTAAAGTAGTCGATGGCCACAATGATGTACCTGTTGTTGGAGGTACCCCTCAGCAGAGGGCCCACAAGGTCTATCCCCCATCGAGAAAAGGGGACAGATGTGCTGATGGGGGCATAGTTGACCGCTGGCCTGCCGGGGGCATTCTGGAAATGTTGGCATGCGGTGCACCTTCGGGCAAGGTCAGCACAATCCCTGGCCATGGTTGGCCAGAAGTAGCCCTGGAGAATGAGCCTTCGGGACATGGGGAAGGGTCCCTGGTGAGCTGAGCAAGTGCCACTGTGCACCTCCTCCATTGCGACCTCGGCTTCATCTTGATGAAGGCACCGAAGTAGCGTGCCGTTGTAAGACCGTTTGTAGAGCCTTCCGTCTTCGATGATGTAGCTAGGAGCCCTCAGCTTTGCTAGTTTAGCGCGGGTCTCATCTTCGGGTAGCTGCCCGACTGAGATGAAGGTGATGATATCTGAGATCCAGTCCTCTTGGCGTTGTTGTATGTTCATGACGGGGCTCGCATGGATACTCGAGAGACTGAGTTCCTCAATTTTAGCAATCTTAGAGATGTGCTCAGGGGAGTCGGCCGAGAGCTTAGATAGTATGTCGGCCTCGGAATTCTGAGCCCTCGGTATTTGAGTGAGAGAGTGTGCCTCAAATACCTTAAGCAACTCCTTGGCCGCCTCCTTGTACTGTTTCATTCTTCCCTCCTTGGCCTCATACTCCTCGGAGATTTGGCCAACGACCATCTTGGAGTCGCATTTGATATGGATCTGCCGAGCCTTCATGTTGGCAGCCAGCCGAAGGCCACATAGGAGGGCCTCATACTCGGCCTCGTTGTTGGAGACTTTGAAGGAGAAGCGGATTGCATAGTAGGCTTTGAAGCCCTCGGGAGTAATGAGGACTACCCCTCCCCCGCATGCTTTGGTTGCGGAGGAGCCGTCGGTGTAGAGGGTCCACCAGTCGTCCGAGGTAGCCGAGGGCTCCCCGTCCGTGGCTGCCCTTGCGGTACACTCCGTCACAAAGTCCGCCAGGGCTTGGCCCTTGATGGCAGGCCTCGGACGGATGTCAATGTTGTACTGGCTTAAGAAGATAGCCCATTTCACCATGCGGGAGGAGCTGGTGGGGCTCCTCATGAGGGCGCCGAGGGGTTGATGAGTGAGGACCTGAACCGGGTGAGCCTGAAAGTAGTGGCCCAACTTCTTGATGGTCCAAACGATGGCTAACACCGTTTTTTCCACAGGGGAGTACCTGAGCTCGGCCTCCCTCAGGGTCTTGCTTACATAGAAGATGGCATGTTGGATGTCGTCTTCCTCCCGGATGAGCACAGAGCTGATGGCTGCCGGGCTGACCCCAAGGTAGAGGTAGAGGGTCTCCCCTACCTTTGGTTTGGAGAGCACAGGGGGTGAAGATAGGTACCGTTTGAGCTCGTCGAAAGCCTCTTGGCATTCTGAAGTCCATTGAAAGCCAACCGTCTTCCTCATGATCTGGAAGAAGGGTAAAGACTTCTCCACTGATTTAGATAGAAAGCGGTTGAGGGCTGCCAGACGGCCCGTCAACCGTTGAACTTCCTTCACATTGCGTTGGGGCTCCATGTTGATGATGGCCTGGATCTTCTCGGGAT